CATATGCCACCTCCTGAAATGGATGATGATCGACCAGTTCTTTTTGGTACAGTGACTCTGTGTATTCCTGCCATCTTCTTTTGATGCATCATTCATTGTTCAATATTTTGCTCACAGAATCTTTCATTACTGCAACCTGAGGCTTAAATTTTTTCTCAATTCTTTTAGCTTGAGAAATGCCAGGTGTGTTCTTCCTTTTTGGTTTTCTAACTCCAGGTCTTTGCACATTTCTTTATAGTAATTGGCTTTGTCTGCTCGAGCTGCTCTTTGACATCTTCTGTTAAGCTCTTTTATCTTGTCATTTCTTCCATTTGCTTTAGCTACTCTTAGCTCAAGGGCAAGTTTCAGAATCTCTTCTGACATCCATTTTGCTCTTTTCTTTCTTTCTCATATTTTTAATGGACTCTTGCTTTCTTCATGGATGATGCTCTTGATGTCATCCCACAATTCTTCTGGTTTTTGGTCATTGGTATTCAATGCATCAAATCTATTCTTTAAATGGTCTCTGATTTCAGAAGGGATATATTCAAGGTCCTATTTTGTCTTTTGTGGACTTGTTTTCATTGTTTTCAACTTCAAGTAGAACTTGCATATGAGCAGTTGATGTTCTGTTGCACAATCAGCTCCTAGCCTTGTTTTGGCTGAAGATATTGAGCTTTTCCATTTCCTCTTGCCACAGATGTAGTCAATCTGATTCCTGTGTACTCCACTGGTGAATTCCACGTGAATAGCCACCATTTGTGTTGTTGAAAAAAGGTATTTGCAATGAATAAGTCATTGGTCTTGCAAAATTCTGTCATGCAATCTCCAGTGTTATTTCTGTCACCAAGGCAAAATTTTCCAACTACCGGTGATTCTTCTTTGTCTCCAACTTTTGCATTCCAATCACCAATGATAAGCAACACATCTTGATTGCATGTTCAGTGAGTTTCAGACTGCAGAAGTTGGTAAAAACTTCAATTTCCTCATCTTTGGCTATGGTGGTTGGTGTGTAAATTTGAATAATAATAGTATTAACAGGTCTTCCTTGTAGACGTATGTATATTATCCTATCACTGACTGACAGCATTGTACTTCAGGACAGATCTTGAAACATCCTTTGTGATGATGAATTCCTCTTCAATTTGTCATTCCCAGCATAGTAGATCATATGGTTGTCTGATTCAAAATGCCCAAAACCTGTCCATTTCAGCTCACTAATGCCTAGGATATCAAGCTTTATGTGTTCCATTTCATTTTTGACAACTTCCAATTTTCCTAGATTCCTACTTCATACATTCCATGTTCTGATTATTAATGGATGTTTCCAGCTGTTTCTCCTATATTTGAGTTGTGCCATGTCAGCACATGGAGGTCCTGAAAGACTTACTTTATCCATATAATTAAGGTTGGTTCTACTCTGATGAGGCAGCTCTTTCCCAGTCCTATTTTGAGTGCCTTCTGACCCAAGTGACTCATCTTCCTGCACTGTCTCAGACAATGCTTCTAAGCTATTCATAAAGTTGCCCAGTAACATGTCAGACAGTGTTTCTCTGCTATTCATAAGATTTTTCCTTGTGAATTTTTGAGAAGTGGATGGCCTCCTTCTTCTTCCTAGTCTCTCTTAGTCTGTAAGTTGCACTGCAACCTGTGCACCATGTGCAACTCTGCTGGTGTCTGAAACACCAGTGGCACAGCCTCAAGCCTCCCAGAAATGTACAAGCCCCCAGGATGACAAACTGACAGACAAGTTTGTCTACCTTAGCTGTTGGAAACCTCTGTGCCTTCCCCTTACCTAATTCCTACCTGGAACCTGCCACTTTGTGGTCCCTGGATGCTCCCCTCTTTCCTGGCTCTGGGTAGCTTGGGGGCCTAGCCTTGCCTCCTGCCCCTTTTTACCTGGATATCCTGCCACTCTGGAAGTCCTCGGCCTCTCCTGCTCCCTCCTTTTCCTGGCTCTAGGGGGCTTGGGACCTAGCCTTGCCTCCCACCCCTTTTTACCTGGGTATCCTACCACTCTGCAGGTCCCTGGCCTCTCCTGCTCCCTCCCTTTCCTGGCTGTGGGGGACTTGGGGTCTGGATATCCTGCCACTCCGCAGGTCCCTGGCCTCTCCTGCTCCCTGCTTTTCCTGGCTCTAAGGGGCTTGGGGCCTAGCCTTGCCTCCCACCCCTTTTCACCTTGATATCCTGCCACTTCGGAGGTCCCTGGCCTCTCCAAGTTGCAAGTTATAGAAATTAAAAAAAAAAAAAAAAAAAAAGGCTGGGAAGCCAGCACCTCCTGCCTGAGCCAGTGGTCCTTGGTGGGGAGAGCCCACCACTCTCTGGGGAAAGTCTATCTATGAAAAAGACCAAGGAGCCTGGGACTGGACGCTCCTAAGGAAGAAAAGGTTAATGGCAACCATTGGGGGGACAGAGACCTGGGCCCCTCACCAAGTGAGGGTGAGTTATCTGGAGATGAACTGATGGGTGGTGTCTATGAGCATCCCCTACGTGCCAAGATGGCAGCTCTTGCTCGCTCCCGTGGCACAGAGACTTACACAGCAGAGTACTTTTTCTCTCTCTCACCCACTTGGGCTCTCACAGAAATCTTGTAATGAAGGCAGAAGGGTATTATTACCCTCATGTTACAGATGAGGAAAAGAGCTCCCATGTGCTTAAGGGTTCTTCTACCAGTTTTTCCCTCAGACCATGTAGCCATGCCTGGTTCTAGCCCACCTGGCCCTAGCACCTGCTGGTACCTCCTTTAACCCTATGTACTTCAAGTTCTTCTTACCCTAATTTCCTCTGTCCACCACAGCCCTGCATCCACCATCACACCCCTGTGTCCACCAGAGCCCTGTGTCCATCACAGCCCTGTGCCCACCACAGATCTCTGCCTACCATAGCCCTGTGTCTGCTATCACAGTCCTGTGTTCACTACAGTCTTGTGTCTACCACAGACCTCTGTTCAACCCAGACCTGTGTCCACTACCACAGGCCTATGTCCACCATCACAGCCCTTTGTTCACCCCAGCCCTGTGTTTACTACAGCCATATGTCCACCACTGTGCTGTGTCTAATATCACAGCCCTGCTCCATCACAGTCCTCTATTTACCACAGCCCTGTAGGAGTTCTTGTGGTGTAGTGCCTAAGGCATTTGACTGCTAACCAGAAGGCTGGTGGTTCAAATCCACTAACCACTTCTCAGAAAGAAGGTTGGGCAATCTACTTCTGCAGTGATACTGCCTCAGAAACCCAAAGAAGGGTCACTATGAGTCAGATCCAATTCGACAACAGTGAGTTAGGTTTTTTTTTTTCTGATGTCCTTCACAGTCTCATGTCCACCATTATAGCCCTGTGTCTGCTATCATAGCCTTATGTCCATCTCACCCTTGCGTCTACCATGACAGCCCTTTGTCCACATCATAGCCCTGTGTTCATCACAGCTCTGTGTCCACCACAGCCCTGTGTCCACTATCACAGTTCTGTGTTCAACATAGCCTTGTCCTGTCTACTGAGCACACTCTCTTTTAGGGAGGCTCACTGTCAAATCCCAAAACTCTTAAGACTCAGGCACCTGTTGGCCCTGTAGTGGCCTAATTTCCTAGTCTCTTTGATGATTCCTCTTGGTCTTTCCCTTGCCTCTACCCTGAGCCTGGGAGCTCCCAGAGGGCAGATTTCCTCCTCCTTCTTGTCCTCATCACCAACAGTGCTCAGGGCAGGGACACCAGATGAACCTGTTTTCTTCTACCTACAAATGTCATAGATTGGCTCATAGCAACAAAGCTGAAAGATCTCTCAACATTTGAATCAAATCTCTCTTCTCACACGGGGTTACTGAGGACAGAGAGGAGAGTGGCCAGCCCAAGGTCATCTAGACCCTGGGACTGTCAGGTTATATCTTGTCTGTGCTTATTCCATCTTCCACCCCCTAAGCCCCATTGCTATCTGCCCACACACACACTGCAGTGGAGCTCATGTTGGTCCTCAATATCCTACAGAGTAAGAGGGCCAAGCAAGAGCTAGTCAGGGGACTTAAAACTGAGAGAAGGAGGGAGAGCCAAAGTGACAAGGGCAGTCCTCTGAGGAGAGAGATAAGGGGGTGGACTCCTTGTGCCAGTCACCTCTCACAGAACTAAGCCCACAAAAACAGAGTTCCAGTGAGGGGAGTGAGCAGGATTGGCTGGTTGGGGCTTGGCTCACACCAGGAATGTGGGGAAGGGGGCGAAGCTCAGGTGTTGTTTTCAAATTGGGTGGGGTGACAGGAAGTTCTTCTTAGTTGAGTTCATCTCTTATAAGTGCATGTGTGTTTGGGTGTATGAGTTACCGCTTAGGGCCTTGGCTTCCCCCTCCCCAACCCCTTGTGCCTTCTCTCATATTTCCTCCCTCCCTCCCCCATATTCCATACTCCTCCCAATCCACAAGTGCATGCCTGCACATACCCCCTGTGTCCAAGAGCTGGCCAGCCTGGGAAACCCTTCTTACTTACGGGTATTGTTGTGGTTTGTTTCAGGTGCCAAAGAATGTGACAAGCTACCACAAGGCAAGAACAAGCAGGCACTGGTCTATATCCCTCCACGACAATACCACCACAGGCTGGGACTCTCTGGGGCCTAATGAGGGAGGGCTGAGGGGGCCAGGTTGCAGGCCTAGCCCCAAGCACAGGGATAGAACAGTGAGAAAATCTGGGAGAAGAGATTTCGTACTCCTGCCCTTGAGGAACAGAATGGGTTTAGGGAGAGAACCTTCCCACAGAGGCTCAAGATCCACAAAAAACTAAGTGGCAACCAAACACAGACCTGGCCACTGGCAAATGGAAGCCAATGAGACCATCAGCAAGGAGACCCCCTCAACAAAAGAGAAACAAGGAGTGGGTTGGAGGTAAGGGTTCAGGAAGAGGCAGCTTGTATCCCAGAAAGAAGTCTCTGCGGAGCAGGGTGAGTGCATAATTTATCATCTAAACCAGACACATCTAAGAGTGAAAAGAGGCACTATCAATAATTATTCCTGGACAACAGGTATTTGCCAAGACTTTCTCGGGTTGCCTCACCAAGGAGGAGCCTGGCTGAGAGTTACACATGGATAACGGGGACCCTTCAATAGCAAGAGAGCACTAGGCCTGGGGCAAGGATCATCCCTTTTACCCTTGGGCGTGAGGTACATGGAGTATCTCTTCATGGGGTCTGATGCACTCCAGTCAGTCGTGAAGCTGTTTGAGAAGTTGTTCATGTAACGACTGTCTCCACCTGGGAAGGAGAGGGGTCAAGTCAGCAGAGGGGGTAGTGAGGTAGAGCTGGCTCTCAGGGTGCATTCCTGGGCTCAGCTGAGTCAGCCCATGACCTGCTCTGTTCCCAGGAGAGCCAAGGTTTCCTGGCCTCTAGTAACGTAATGTTCTTCCCAGCATTCACTCTGTTCCTGGGCACTGTGGTGAGCCAGCTACATTCTCTTGGACTGACCCCCTTGGGAATAAAAGCATGTGCATATCATTCTGCAATTTACAAGGTGTTGCTGATACTCATTTCTTCATTTCATCTGTATGTCAATCCCTGGACAGGTATGATGATCCCCATGTGACAGATAAGGACACTGAAGTCCAGGAAGTGAGTGAAGCAACTTGCCCAATGTCGCATGGCTAGTAAGGGAGAATTAGGGTTTGAGGCCTGGTCCCCTGCTTTCAGCTCTGCCACAGCCACTGCTGGCAGCCCAAGGTGGAGGAATACAATCTTAGCTTTGGGCCCTATGAGTCAGGGATCCAGTCAGCTGAACCAAGCCAGGCAGAAGCTCAGATGTTATAGGCCCCAGGCAGAGATCATAAAAGGGAGGTCACCCGGACTCCTCCCTCCCTGACATTCCACGGCACACACCAGCTAACTCCCCATCCCAAATAAGCCTGCAGCTTAATGCTTGACTTCTCCTAGTCAGCCCTCCACCCCATTCCTTTCTCTTGCTACTTCCCCATCTCCCACTTTCCCTTTATCCTCCCCTCTGGTTTTCCTGGGAAAGAGGAAGACTAAGTGGCTCAGACTCTCATTCTTCACCTTTATCACCTGTGCCTGGCAGGGGGCCTGGCACACTGTAGGCACTCAATGAACCACCAAATGCCCCTCTCACACCACCACCCAAAGCCAGCATGAAAGTTTCTTGGTGCCTCTTAGCCCCTGGACCTTGGAGGGTAGGAACGTGTCTCTAGTCTGGTGGGAGGACCAGCATAAGGGAGAAGAGGATGGTCACTCAGGGGTATGACTCCCATCCCCAATCTCTCATAGTTAGGCACACTCCCAAAAAGAAGGCAGCAGTGACAGCTCTACAAAGGAACCTCCCAGCAGCCCCAGGCACAGGTGCAGGGCCACTGACATCAGCAGTGCCCTTCCCTGATCCTGGCCACCACCTCAACATACATCTTGTACAGGGCTGCAGGGCCACACCTGCACAGAGGCCATGGCAGCACAATCGTGACCTAGAAATGGGTCAAAGAGAGGTTGGGAAGCTGGACCATCCCTATAAGGTTCACAGGCCACCCTACCACACTCAGGGCCATCCTCATAGTTCAAGTCCAAACCTCACCTGAGGGGCTCCCCTGACAGGTGTGTACCTCAGAGATGATCATCATCATACTCCCCAACCCCACCACTTCCTCCACCACCTTCAGCAGCTTCTCACATAAGAAGGCACAGAAGGCTGAATCATAGAGTATTAAACCAACAATATCAGGGTGACCTTTGAAAAGATCCTTCTCTAAGCCTCAGCCTTCTCATCTATATAATATGTAATATACCCCATAGGTGGTACTGGGAAATAAGATGATGTAAATGAACAGCTCAGAGCAACACCTGGCATATGGGAGCACTCAATCAGTATCAGCATCACCAGCAATGTCATCGCTATCATCATTGGGAGGCTCTCAGGGTTCAAATGTGGGTAGAAGCCAAATGATTGTCTTGCTAGGAAATTGTTCATCTGTTCTTAGGTGTGCTTGAATTGGGAACCACATTTCAACACCATCACCACGACACAGGGATGTTCCCCTGGACCCTGACATTTCTGCATGCCGTTATTCCCCTCTCCTCCACAAAGAGTCATGGGTTCCATTTGAAAACTAAGAGGTCTCTTACTTTGGGGTATTTACACTAGGTGGCATCCTCAAGATCTGTCAGAGAGCCATGCAGCAGAGGACTTGGGTTGGGTCAGGTTCATTAGGTGGGGCTTTGGGGAAAGTGCCTAGACTTCAGGGCCTAAAGGGACTGGGTTGTGACTTGAAAAAAGACTTAACGGGGTAGTTTCTCCAGTTAGGAGGCTTTCTGTGAGATGATTCAGTAGACCATGCTGACCACAGCATGATTCAGGAGAGAAGCTGACTGCAGGAGAGCTCATGAGTCACAGATATTCTGTGTCCCAAAGTCCCCTGTTGTCCCACCAAGCCAATTCCAATCTCTGAGTCAGTACTTCTCAGCACAACCATGGTGACTGACCACTTCTCCCTCCAAGCCTGAATTCAGTCTTAGGTCATGATGATGCAAGTCTCTAAAGTCACCAGTCTGGACTCTGACCCATGTAAACTGCAACATCCACATAATACTGTACTGAGTGACAGTCCCTGAATCTTAGTTCAAAACAGCCTTGAGTGGGTGAGTGGATGTGTGGGTGGATGCCAGCCTGCACCAGGCAGATGGAATTGACCTGGTAGAGAAAAGTCTATTGCCTTAGGATCATGCCACAAGAGGGCACCTACCATTTTCCATGTGGTTCCTCTCAATGAAGTTGCGGCTTAGGTCCGCCTTGCACATCTTCTCAACATGGCGCATGCACACATTGAGCAGGTCATCCTTGAAGTTGCCAAGAGACTGCCCCAGGCCCTCACCCTCCAGTAGAACATGGTAGGTAGGCAGGGGTGGAGGGAGGGAGTAATTGCTCATCAATGCACCAAATTCCTACCAAGAAAGGAAGGAAGCCATTAACTTCCTGGGTCTTTAGCAGCTGTGAGGACCCTTCTCTGCATGGGGCTCTTATAGTCCAGCTGAAAGACCCAGAACTGGGAGCTGGATTCTAGCTCTTGCTCTATTATCAGCAGTTCCACTTTCCTCACTAAGCATTAGTTTCTTCTTCTGGAAAATGAACGTGTTTGACTAGAATCCACTATATGCTCTCTAACATTCCTGATGGAACTAGTTAGTATTCATGTGATCCCATGGTTCCACCCTAAAACTGGGTATGTCACTCCCACCACATGAAAGCACTGAATAAATACAAAGGATTATTAGTATGTCCAGGGTCAGTGATGGTGGCATTTCCACATTTACCTGCCATGCCCAACTCTTCCTCTTTATCTTTGTACTTACTTCTTTTCCCTCACTGAAGAAATTCAAAATTCCTGACCAGTGTTCAAGACCCAGTTCAAATTCCACCTCCTCCACAAAGCTGTTTCATATCACTCTAGCCTTTTGGCCCTTCTCTGAACTTCCACAGACACCTATCTCCTGAACCGTACACTTTATTGTTTAATTACACATTCTTCTATGTTGTTCTCTAATTGTATGTTTTTATCTTCCCAGCTGGATTATAGCTCCTTGGGGGCAGAAACCATGTCTTATATGTCTCTAATCTCCACAGCACCTAGTAGAGCACTGTACATGCAATAGCACCCAAAGCACTCTAGTAAATGGAAGGATAGATGAATGAATAGACAAACAGAGTAGATCAAGGATAACAAATAAACAGCACTCATATGCCACCACCACCACCTATATTCAAAGCAGGCTAATCATTAATCAGTTACAGATTTCTTTCCTGCTGTGCCTGGTGTATTGCTAGTACACATCAACTGAAGGTGGTACAAGGTGATATTTGTGTGCCATTTTTAGACTAGGTAAGGAAATAGCTTACATGGAAAAGTAAATAGATAGATGGAATGGAAGAACAAATGGATTGGATAATAGAAGGTGATTATAGATGGGTGGTTTGGATTGATGGATGGATGGATATATGGGTAGACAGATAGGTGGATGGACAGATGAAGATCTGGTAAAGCAGATGGGTAGACTGAAGGACTCAATGACAGTAGATCTGCTTGTTACCTGCAGGAACAGCACTGAGTCACTGATGCTGTGCAGCTGCTCTCTGGTCTGCTTGTCATCATGCAGCACCTTTGCCCTTTCATCCAGAGCATCCACGATCACCTTCACTTGGTCCACAGCATCCTGCTCCCGCTGCTCCAGTGCAGCTCTCACTTCTTCCTTCTGCTTCTCCAGGTCCCGCACCAGGTCTCGGAAGTTTTGCTCCAAGACAGCCTTCTCATTGGTGGTGAAGCTCTGGAGCCAGGATCAGGGAAGGGGTATAGGAGAGTTCAATAAGAATAAAATTTTCTTCATGTAATATGTCTTTAGGTTCCCAAGACAGGGTCAGGATATTTCCACTGACCCAACCTGGCAAGCTTGTTGCTTGTTTGGCCAAGAATCATCCTCTCACTAAAAGGCACCATTGAGAGGTTCCATTTATTGATAAAGATGTTTTTTTTTTTTTTTTTTCCTAATAGCCTGCCATTCCTTATGTACCTGTGGCTTCTCCTCCTTGGTGGATTGGCATGATCCATCATTTCCACCTTTGTACCTTTGTGTGACTTTCCATGGCCCAAAAAGTCCCCCATGAGTAGAGGTTGAAACTAGATACTATTAAGTCAACTCCAACTTATGATGTCCAGAGTAGAACTGTGTCAGGGTAGAAATGTGCTCCATAGGGTCTTCAGTGCCTATGACCTTTCAGAAGTAGATCACCAGACCTTTCTTCCAAGGCAATTCAAACTTCCAGCCTTTCACTTAGTAGCCAAATATGTTAACTGTTTGCACCACCCAGGGAATCCTATAATTCAGGGAATACACTCACTGAAATCTCAACTAGAACCAAACATCATTTAGAAAGCAAATTAACTGGATGTTTACGTGCCAAAGCCAAGGATCAGTGACTTCAGATTGTGGTTTTTAATTGCCCAAACCATGGCAGACATATTATCTCCAACCACACTGGCACAACAAGCATAGGAGAAATGGCATGTAATTGATGGCTGGGTAGTCTGATGGGCAGAGCAGATACTGAAGAATATTGGAGAACCCATTGGAGGGTAGGCCAGTCTGGGGTCCTTATTTACTGGAATGATGTAAACTGAAGATAATGTGATGGGCAAGATCCCACCTTGCTGCTTGGTCCAGACTTAGAAGGAGAGTCTGGGCCAAGGGAATGTCAAGGGGTGGAGAGGCCAGAAAAGAAAAGTGTGGAATATAAATGTGGGCCTCAGACCTCAAATAGAAGCCAATGCCACTTCCTCTGAGGACCAGGCAGGACAAGTGAGGTGAGGGTGCAGCAGGGGAGAGGTCTGGGGGCTGCCCACCTTGATGCGGTCCTTCTCCTTCTGCCACTTCTCAGCTTCATCCTCAATCTCAATGATCTTGAGCTGCAGCTGCTCCTTCTGTAGTGACAGTTCCGTCTGCAGGGAAAAGTTGGAGATTAGCAGAGGAACGAGAGGGGAGGAGGTGGAAGAGAATCAGAGAGGGCCCACCCAGAGAGAAAATTCTGGGGCAGAGCTCATCACTCATTCATTCATTCCTAAATTCAGCAAATGTACATAAGGACTGGGATATGCCAGGCACTCTGCCAGTCGCCAAGAATACAGCAACCAGTGAAACACCATCTCTCCGTATCTTCAGGCCTCTAGGGCCAGACATCCTAGCTAAGTCTTTAAAAGAGCTTAACTTCTGCCTGCCTCCTCAACCCAACACGAGCAGGAAGGAAACTTAGTTATGGGGTTCTTGCTTCTTTAGATAGACCTGGGTTACTGGGGAGAGAAAGGGAAGCTCCTGCCTCTCTCAAGCTAAGAGGAGAAAGGGGCCCTAGCTCAGCACAACATAGCCCAGGGAGTGTCTTGGACAGCACAGTCCAGGGAGTGTCTTGTGGCAATAACAGTGTGCAATGTTTCTGAGACATGACGTGGGGCCCATGTTGCAAGCAGTAGCTGGGATTGCCTCTGGCATGGACTCTGTCTGGACAGGCACAACTATAAACCTGTTTATGGGAAAGTGAATGCATTCTGCAATTTTGACAAGATAGGGACTTTCATTCAGGGTCCCAGGGGGAGGAAAGAAGCTAGAGAGTAAGGCTGTGAAGGGTAGAAGAGAGAAGAGAAGGAGATGTTCAAAGGATCTCCACTCAGCAGAGGATATGGGCTATTGGAGTATGGGGTGGGGGATGCTGTGGGAAAGGATCTATCAGGAGTGCTGGGACTTGAGCTCTCATACCCATATTTTCCTTCCATTTAGGGACATGCTCATCTCTGAAAAGCAGCTAAAACAGAGGAAAAGGGAAGCATGGAGCTAAGGCCAATCAAATTCAACCAAGCCAAAAGGCACTTCTTTCATTCTGCTGGACTTCCCTCTAGGGCTTGGAAGATACATGAATGACTTCCATGTGAAAGGCATGAAAACCAAAGCATCCAAGGCAGTCTTGGGTGGTTCAAGGTCTCCTCAAATACCTTTTGGATTTGAATGCAGAATTCCACTCCTTTCTCCAGCTGTGTACTTGAGAAACTCACAAAACTGTTGAGAAGCCATAAGCCACAAGCCACTAGAAATGTGACTTCTATCAACAAAGAGTCATAGCAGCTGGGCAGAGAGCTTCAACACACAACACACCCTTGAACACTCCACTAGGCCAAGGGGGCAGTAATTTAGTACTTGTTGCAGACACCCAGGGAAATGGGCTCTTGGTTCATGGAACTTCTCTGGTTATCTTGGAAAAGGTATCCAGAGGGACAGGGAGCTGGTGGATAAAGTGGGTAAGGCAAAGAGAACCAAAGAGCTTTCCTGACAGACAGTCTCTGATGTCATGTCCCTCCCCCTCTGCCTACACTCCTGGGCTCTCTGTGCATCTACTTGGCCAACAATGGGCTGGAAATTCCATGACACAAAAAATGCCGTCACCAGAAATGAAAGATGGTTATCAAAAGGAGAGGAATAAATGGAGATGGGAATAAGGATTTGGCCTGGTCTCTGGAAAAAGGCAAGAGAGAAGTCAGCTGTCATAGTGGAGGGTGAAGAGCAAAGAAGTTGTCTCCACTGTGGGTGGTGGGAGACTCAACCCTCAGACTCTCTGAGGCCATAGATCACCTGAGAGCCCAGAAGACAAAAGTCAACTAAGCCAGTGGCCCTGAAGGCCCCTGAGAAGGCTGTGCCTGGTAGTTGCATCTGAGTTGTGAAGAAGAGGCTGAGAAGCTAGAAAATGGCCTAACCGGGCAACCTTCCTATCCCTGGAGAACTCCTGAGCTAAATGTGAGGTTGAAAGGAGAGCAAGGGCTTTCCATGCACTTCAGCTTCAACTTGCTTAGGAATGGAGGAACTGGCTCTTGAGTTTCTCACCCTCACATCACCATTCACAAAATAAAAGGAATAAAGGTGCATTCTCTCACACCCTGCTGTCCACCTTCACTCCCACCCCTAGGTGGGAGTTACAGATGGGAGAAGGGCAGCCCCTCCACAAAATGAGCAACAGGGGTTCCAGGAGGGAGCTCCCACCAGGTATAAGACTACCACTACCTACAAGCCAGGTGGTCATCAGTAAGAGACTTGACTTCTTCCTGTATCAGTAGCTTCATCTGTTACATAGAGGATCTGGACCTGACCCCCAAGGGCATTGTGAGGATAAATTGAGATAGGGAATAAAGCTCTTAGAAAATACCTGGCATAGGGGACATGCTAACAAACAGGGGTCATTGTCATCATTGTTTGTGGACACCTGCATGGACTAGGGGCCAAATGGAATGTTTTCTCTGACTGTGCTCAGTAGGAGTGAGGACAGTGTGGTAGGCAGGCCCCACGTAACAGATAAGCAAGGGGAGAGGCAGGTGTAGTCAGGGGAGGTTGTAGTGCTGTGCAGTGGTGAGGACAGTGTGGCCATGGCATTGGGGTCCATGTGTAGTGAATATACTGTCCATGGGCTGAAAGACACAGAGTGAAGAGTAGAGTACATAGAGAAATCAGGAAGTCAAATGCTTGGTTGAAGATGCAAAATGGAGGCTTAGACCATAGATCACTGAAGACTGGATGGGATTAGAGAAAACAGAGTAGGAGTAAAAAGAAGGAAATGAGGATGGCCTAACCACTTGTAGGAGGGAGAAAGTTTGACCACAGAAGGTGAAAGCCAGGGGAGTCCAGTGTCTGGAGTGAGCATCCCACAAGGGGATACCTGTTGAGAGCCATTTGGAAGGATGGGTATGGGATAGGCCTGCAGGTTAGGAGAGGTCCTACCCAGGTGAGCATGGATTTACTGAACAAAAGGGTTAAAGAGGATATTGAGAAAGGGAAATAAGGGTATTAAAGAGAATACTAAGAAATGGAAAATCCAATAGGATTTTAGAGCAAGGAAGAGCCTGGACCAAGAGCCGATATGGGTCAGCCTCCTGGGAGTCCAGGGAGTAAGACAGGGAAGAAAGACTGCTGTGGGGCCACTTGAGATATGGGAAGAAGAGCAGAAGTGTCAACCAGTGACTTGGGCGAGGAGAAGGGAGAGGTGGATGATCTAGAATTGTGTGAGGGCAGAGTCAAAAGTGGAGACAGGGTGTCTGCAGCAGTGGGTGGAAGAATCAGTGAGGGTGGAGGAGAAACGAGCCCTCATTACTTCTCTAGGGCACTAGGGAAGCCCGGCTAGAGAGCCTGGGAGGGGACCTTGGTTCCACAGCATGCCTTGCAAAACCAGACTTTCAGGATGCAGCAGGATCTCGGGAGGGCTCTTGGACTGGAACACTATGCTGCTGAAACGGTCCTCTCTCACTTCTGAGGTGAGTCCTACTGCTGTCAGGAAATAAGGGTCTAGGGTGGGACCTCTGGGGATATGCCCAGCCTCTGTTCAGCCCTTGACAATTTTTCCTGCTGACAAGGCTACCCAGACCTGACATAGCATATAGGAAGCAACACAGCATGAGAAGTCCTAAAGAGGCTGGAGAATACAAGAAGGAATTTAAATTATATTATTGAGTATCTACTATGTGCCAGGCATTTTCTCCTTTAATCTGCAAATGCCCCATGTGAAGGTAAGTAGTGTTATCCCCATTTTACAGATGTGGAACTTGAGACCTAGAATGATTACATACCTTGCCTGAGATAGTAGTAAGTACTAAGAAAAAGCAGTAAGGCCAAGATCCAACAACTGGACCTCACCTCTACTATGTGACCTTAAGACATGTTATTTCCTCTTCAGTCCTGCTAACTTAAGCCCACCAGGCTTCTCTCCATGTCACAGATGCTGTACTTAGATGATTCTATTTCTTTCCCTGTTGCCCCTTTGTTTTGCATGCCCTCCCCCAAACCCCTGAGGCCTCGCTTTCTTGTTCCCTCTCTCACTTCTCCCTTGGAATCTGATTGAAGTCCTTGAGGTAGGACTGGAGACTCAGCTTTCCACAGCACCCCTGCCTACACCTCCCTGATGAGGACTTCCTCCTACTCCCTAGGGCATTCCCTTCACCCTGCCCAGGCCTGTCCCTAAATGCTTCCTTTGTTCCTTTCTCCCACACTCCTCTAGTTGCCTCTCTCTTCTCTCTCTCTCTCTCAGGCCCTGCGTAGGCCACCCTGCCTTGAAACCCTTCTGGCCTTAGATGAGGGAGGTTTCCCTGAGAACAGAGGGATATATCTCAGTAGCCGGTGATGCCTAGGCTCGGCCGGAGTCTCCAGGTGCACCCACAGCTGAGCACTCACCTGGATACCTGTGCTTGAGCTGCCTCCAGGGATGAGGAGATTGGGCTATGATCTTCCCCTAGCCTGAATTAACCACATGGGCCATTGGCTGTGACATTTGCCAAATGAGCTAGTTAATTGTCAAATTTGTACTCTCTGACAAATGGTAATTATTTTGGATAAGAATCTGAAATGCTGGATAGATTTCCTTGTTACCACCCAGATGTCAAATAGCAGCCTTAGTGAGTTGGCCTGATTGGGATTTACTTTTCCTCTTCTTCCTGGTAGCGCTCAGTCCAGGGCAGGAGCGAGAAGACATGGGAAGCACATTACCTGGCAGCCTCCACGCTAGTGGGGGCCCTGGAGGAAGTCACTTCACCTCCCTGGACCTTGGTCTCCTTTGATGGAATTGGACAAGATTTCCAATTCCCAACCTGGCTATCGTAAAGAGAAAAAAATTCACATCTGTGCCCAGCCCCAGACCTCCTGAATCAGAACCTAGGGGAATCTTTGTTTTAACAATTTGCCAGGTAACTCCGGTGTAGCCAGTTCAGTGCTGGTCTGAGGACTAATGTTTGATAACCACTGGATTCCGTGACCTTAAGGAGACCCTTCAAGTCTTACCATAAAACAGTTTTAAATGGTAGAGAGAAAACAGCCTCGCCTTTGGGCAGACCAAGAAGTTTCATCCTACTTTGCCACTTTCTACCTCTGCAGCTTTGGATAACTTGCTTGGCATATTTGAATCTGTTTCTTCATCCATAAAATAGGTTCAGTAATGCCCACCCCCTAGGTCTGTTGTCAGCAGTAAGTGGGACAACATGGAAATGGCAAGCACCATACCTAGCACGTTAAGAAGCTCTGGTGGCACAATGCCTCAGGCATTTAACTACTAACCAGAAGCCTGGCAGTTCAAATCCACCAGCCACTCTGTGGAAGGAAGATGAGGCAATCTACCTCCATGAAGATTTACTGCCTTGGAAACACAATGGGGGTTGGTATGAGTCAGAATCGACTCAATGGCGGTGGGTTTGATTTTTATACCTGGCACAAAGATGTGCTCATCAAAGCCTAGTATGTCTCCTGCCTGCCTGCCCTTCTCTTTTCTTCCCTGCTTCACATGTGTAAACCTACAAAAATGTATTTTCTTTTTGCTGCTGTGAATGCACATTCTCTACCCCTGCCAAGCTTCACCCCAGCATCCCATAGGTAATCACCTCCTTTCTTGCCCACCCTATCCCTGATCTCCAAAGCTCTGGAGAAAATGTCCCAGCCCTCTCCAAGGCACCCCCAGGCCTTGAGCCTAGGTCCTTTTCCTGAATTCCCCCCACCACAGTTTGCCCACTAAGAGCTTTCCTACCCAGACCAGAACAGCTCAGAACACTCAAGGACCATGGACCACCCGTGTCCAATAGCTGGTGGTTCTGCCTTGGTGGAAGAATTGGACAAGATGAGAAACAAAGCCAGCAGACATGGTAAGAGTAATGAACTAAGCCAAATGATGGCACCAAGAGTAAACAAGACAGTGCATCTGAGCCACTCAGCAGAAATGGGAGCTCGCCAGTACTCATGGCTGAGTGTTCCTCCACACACACCCAACAGCCTACCAACCAGAGCACAAGAAGTATCCGCACCAAGGCAGGACTGCCAGTGGGTAAAAGAAGCCAGGCTGGCCACTCCAGAATAGGCAACTACCCTTTCTGAGAGGAGTCCTAACATGCTGGCCTGCTGCAGCAGGAGGGATTTAGAACAGACAAAAGAAGGATTATGAGACAGAGAAAGGAACAAATATGTAAATTTTAATCCCATCAACCTAATCTAGCCTGGCAAATGTCCACAGGCAGAAGGATGGACCTGGTATTTACGGGACCCCTTATGGCATTTGGGGTGGAATTGGATACATTCTGACCTGAGATTTCCATGTTGCCACATCAGGTGGCTTTCCAACACTACCTCTGCTTATAGTCAGAGGTAGAACTGAGGCCCAAGAGATGACCATCATAGCCCTGGGTGCCAGCTATAGACTCCTGCAACTAAGCAGGAAAGGTCTGAGCTCACCTCACCTGGGCTTTCACCAACAGGGCACAGAAAAGGTTCTGAACAGGGTTCCTTGCAAAAAGCTGTATGTGGACTGATGTCTGTGTCTATAAGAGATGCCTTCGAAGGATGCCAGGATTAACGTGCTCATTCTCTTTGGTGCACCAACCCACTAACTCTGCTCTGTGACAATGCCCTCAACATCTGACATTCCAGCAGTGTCAGGCCTGGACTAAATTCTTGGCTCTCAATCTCCTTGCTTCTCTGCATCACTCTTCCCTGCCTCCCTACACCACAGACGTGGGTGCACATACACACAGAGATATACACACACATGCGTGCATGCACACTCATGCACCCTGAAGTCCTCACCATGAGAGCCTCCCAAGTGGACCAGGGCACTTTCTCCCAAAGCTACTGCTAAAGCACACATTCCTGAGTCCCAGACTCCCAATGCCATTCCCTGAGACTCAAACACTGGAAGAAGACTTAGTGGGCTTCTTCCTCAAATTCTAGAGTCTTAAACAGGCCCCTTTCTCTCTCTAGGCCAATGTCCCCAACTGCAAGATAAAGGAGGAGATTGATGGTGTTGCTAATAGTCCGATCTGATGTTTATGTTCAGCTGCTTCTGCGTAACTAGGCGTAGGCTCCCAGTCTTATTTGTGTAGCTCAGCTATGCCTCCTGACCTACATCATGAGACCTCAAGGGCAAGAACAGTGGCTTTGATTGCTACAGCGGTCTCAGTACCAGAACATGAACTCTGAGCTCCTGGCACCTCCAGAAAGAGCTTTCTGAGACCCTCCTGCCCCCTGAACAGCCTCATGGCCCCTCCAGTGGTACTTGGGCTTTTCTTAAGGGATGATAAATTTTGAGCAAAATCCTGTGTGTGAAACAGATAAACAAGGGTGTGCTTCTTGGCTCTTCTTTGCTCCCTCTCCTCTGAGGCCTCAATGACATTTTGGAGAATCCTAGGGCTCCATAGGGTTCGTGGAAAACCACCAATCTAGCCCAACCCTTTGATTTTACAGTAGGAAAAAGGAGACTAAAAGAATAGAAGGATTTGTCCATAATTTCACAGTTAACTAAAAGACAAAACCAACACTGGAATTTGGGTCTCTAAGGAGTTCTGGTGGTACAAAGGTTAAACACTAGGTTGTTAAGCAAAAGATTGGCAGCTCAAACCCACCCAGAAGTTCCAAGGGAGAAAAACCTGGCAATCTGCTCCCGCAAAGATTAAAGCCAAGAAAACCCTATGAGGCAGTTCTTCTCTGGCGCATAGCATTGTAATGAGTCAGAATTGACTTGACAGCACCCAACAACAGCAAGAAAACCAAGCCTGAAGTTCTATACTTTTCTTGGTTGCAATGGATGAGATGACTGTCACTGTTCCAAGGAGGCTCCTTGAGGATGGGTTCCATGTCCCCACTGCATCTCTATCCCACCAAAAGAAGCTTTAGGGCAGGCAGTGGAGAAGGGGTAGGAACACCTTCTGCCTGGGCCAAACAGGGCTTCTGAGAAGGATCTTTGAGTGTGTTCCCATCTTTAACTCAACCTCCCTGCCCAGGAGTATGGCAAGGTGGTTGTTGTTGTTATGTGCCGTTAAGTTGGACCCGACTCATAGCAACCCCTCCTTGGGTTTCCGAGGCAGTATTACTATGGAAGTAGATTGCCCAACCTTTCTTCTGAGAAGTGGCTGGTGGGCACAGGGGAAAGAATACAAGTTCCTGGTCAGAAAGGCTTGGCAGGGTGGAGGTGCTGTGCTACCCCAGTCTAACAGGGCAGAAGCTGTTGAGGAAAGTTGGGTCTTCTACATCCATTTCCAAGAAGGTTCACCTCAGGGTAGGCTACCCACAGCAGACAGCTGCAGAGCCGTGGGCAAGAATGGGCACAGCATCTATGGGGCAAGGGGCTGGGCCCACAGACCTGAACACTTCCCCAGGTGTGCCACTCACAAGCCTCCACTCACCCTTGCTCATCCCCATCTGAGTAATTACATACACAGAACTCCAGCAAATACGCTTATGTATCATATACACAGATATAGGCAAAGATCCACATAGAACAGTCAAAAATGTACATGTATGTACATCTACACACACACACACACACTCCAGCCTTCATTGATAATGCCCACCTACAGGCATAGTCACATCTACATACAATCACACACAAAAAAAATCCACAGGGCCCCACTGAGAAAAGGGTAAAGGGTGCCATGAGGGAGTCAGGAGACCAGCTGGGGCATCAGAGAGACAAGAAGTCATGTTACTGCAAATGCAAACCTCAAATCCAGTCTAAAGGGGAATTTCAGTGGCCAAAAAGTTCTTCCTAGTATTACCTTCTCTTACTCAAGACCCTATGGGCCAGTCCTACTCAGATGGGAGAATTCTCTCTCCCTTAAAATAAGAGAAGAAACACCCCTGCTAGGTACAGAGCCTAGATCTGAGTGCTGTATCATTCAGTCTTATTCTCTGATCTGACAAGAATTAATCCTATGACTTTGGCCAAGCCCTCAACCTTTTCCAAACCCTTATTTGCTCATCTAGGAAATGGCTCTGTCTCCTGAGGCCTTAAAGAACACTCTCCTCAATGCCCACAGTGGGGAATGAAGGGGAAAGAAAGATTTTCTAAAGGAATCAGGGGCAGTCAAGACTTTAGTCCAAATGCTAAAAATCCTGGAAGAGAAGGTAAGGGCTGGAGGGAGGAGAGGGCTCCCCACCACCATGGGAGTCTAGAGGGGCCCCAAAATCACCTCCTTCTCGGCCTTGGCCTCTTCCACGGTCACGGTGCTGTGATTCTTGTGCTCCTGGAACATGCACAGGTAGCAGATGCACGTCTGGTCTGTCTGGCAGAAGAGCTCCATGGTCTTGCCGTGCAGGGGGCACTTGCGGGCCTCGAAGTCCCGGATGGGCTCGAGCAGCTGGTGGTCGCGGAAGGCAGCACTCTCTAGGTGGGGCTTGAGATGCAGATCACAAAAGGAGGCCTGGCACACCAGGCAGGACTTGACGGCCTTCTGCTTGTTGCCGATGCAGGAGTCACACAGGACCTCTTCAGAGCCCGACTTGGGCCTGAGGAGAAGGCCGGTGTCTGCCCGGGGGTAGCTGTTCCGCCGCACGTCCCCCGGCTCCATGATGGACACCGTAGGCTTCCGGGGCTCCGAGAAGATGGACTTGCGCAGCTCCCCTTTGTCGGCAAAAGTTACCGGCGGCTTCTTGGCGGCCCCCAGCTGGAGCCCTGAGTAGGGTGACCGCTTGCCTTCCGCGGAGTCCATGCTGAAGTAGTTGGAGCCCTTGTCATCCACAGACTCGACAAACTGAATGATGGGCCTCCTCCACTCATTCCCGGAGAACAGGGAGCTCTTCCCCTCCCCTGACTTCAGGGCGCTGCCCAGGCTCTTGCCTTCAGGTGCTTCCCCGCCATGCCCATTGGTGGTCTTGGCATCCTTGGCTTCAGACTTGGCCCCGTTCTCCAGGCCACCATTGGTGCTCGGTGGGCTGAGGGCGTCCCTGGCTTCTGGGCTCGCCCCATTGCTCCTAGAGACATCTGCAGTTTCCATTGCAAGTCACTGGGCTGGTTTGTTTCAGGCTTGTTGGGGCTCTGGCTGGATGGCCTGTCCACCGTGCTTCTCAGCATGGAGTGGGGCAGGCAGCCACAGAGCACAGACACACACCTATAGGGGCAGGGAGGAGCGGAGCCCAGTGGGCGGAGCAGCAGGGGGAAGGCCTGACACAACGGGCCTGGCTGATGAGAAGCAGGCGGCTCCAAGAGCCAGCAGAGTAGCTAATTATACAGGGGCCCACGCCCTGCACGTTCATACCTAACCTGGTTTTTAAAAGAAGTGTTTTTTCTCCCCTGTTTAATTATTTTCCACAACTCAGCAACCAGTTGGGCTGCTTCCATCTGACGCACTTGTTCCTCATCAGGGAAGTGGGGGTATAGCTTCTGCCCTCACAGGTCGGCAGGCTTTGTCTAGCTGAAGGGCCTGTGGGGCAGACATGAGGTGTCCACAGAAGACCACAGGACAGAAGGGTTATTAATTGGGTCACACAAGCCATGTAGCCTTGTAATTTCCCAGCCTGGATTTCAGAGGAGCGAATTTCCCTTGAGGAGGTGGAGTTGCTTTTCACCTTAAGGGGAGTGACAGGTTCATTTGAATTTGGAGTGAAGCGGCTACTGATTATTGAACCTTGTTCTCAGCACTTTACATATATGAGCTCATTTGATTGTCACTAGAATCTTTTCAGTTATTCTTTTTTTTTTTTTTTTTTTGTGATTTGGGTGAAAATTTACAGAGCAAATACACTTTCCATAGTTCACATACACTTTGTCTCATGACATTGACCACAATTTACCACAATGCAACCGCTCCCCTCCCACTTCCTCCCGATAGTTACCTCTTCCCAGTGTCCACCCCTCCATGCACTCCTGCCCCCTAAGCTGTCTCCCTGTGCAGAAGCAGCCCTTCTTTCTCCCATGATTGTTCTCTCCAAGGAGTGTATCTACCTCAGGTAAATGTTCAGCTCATATGCCTGTCTTTTGTTTGGCTGGAAACCACGGATGTGGGTTCAATTCCAGACCTGAATGACAGCTAGGGGCCATAATCTCAGTGGTTCCACCAGGCTCTATCAGACCAGCAAAACTAGTCCCCCTCTTTTTTTTTTTTCCAAATGATTTTGAGTTTTGCTCCACATTGTTCTCCCTCTCTATCTAGGATCTCCTACATAGATCATCTTCCAAGTGGTTGACAGTAGTAGCCAGGCACCATCTAGTTCTTCTAGTCTCATAGTCATATAGGCTACAGGTCGGATGGTGCACCAGTTGCTAGGGCTAATTGTTTCCATTAATTTTTGGTTTTCTTCATTCTTCTTGGCTCTGGACGAGGAGAGACCCATCGTTGCATCTAGATGGCAGCTTGTAAGCTTTTAAGATCCCAGTTGCTACTCACCAAAGTAGGAGGCGGAACAATGTTTTATGTAGTATGTTATGCCAATTGAGCTTGATGTCCTCTGTGACTATGGTCCTGAGCCCACAGGTTCAACTACTCTGTTCCTCTGGGTAGTTGGCTGTGGCCAAGCAGTGGCTACAAACTTGCCCCTTGTCAGCTCCACTATACACCTGGAAATTCAGATCATACACATAAAGTTATAGGACCATTGTCTGCCAAACCTATACATGTTCTTGGGTACACTCCCCACTTCATAGACATACCTAATAGTTCAGCCTCTTTTCTTATTCTTAATAGATAAGAAAACAGTTCTTAATAGATGAGAAAACTCTCCTAAGTCAAGTGGTAGAACTGAAATTTGAACCTAAGACTCTGGAGATTCCAAAGTTCCTTCTTCTAGGGGGTGATGGGGCAGGAAATCATGGAGTGACCAGAATATCTTGCCAGCAGATGACTTCTGAAAGTCACTCCTGTCCTAGCAACCCTCACAAGATCATATAGACCTTAGGTTATTTCTATAAAGTTGGGTCAGGGCCTGCTTGGTCCAAAGGACAGAGAAATAATGATGAGGGACATTCAAGCCATGAGAGGACAACTTGACTGTCATTTGTCTCCACAGTAGGATTGCTGTGTGACTCAGTAAACAAACAAACATGGCCCTTTCTGTTGTTAGCTGCCATCAAGTTGACCCCTGACTCACAGTGACCCCCTACACAATGGAACAAAATGCTGCCCAGGCGTGTGCCATAGCCCTGATCAGTTGTGGAGTGGAGCATTGTGGTCTATATGGTTCTCACTGGCTGATTTTCAGAAGTAGATTGGCAGGCCTTTCTTCCTTGTCCATCTTAGTCTGAAAGCTCCACTGAAACCTGTTCAACATCATAGCAACACACAAGTCCCCACTGACAGACGGGTAGTGGCTGTGCATGAGGTGCATTGACCAGGAATGAACCAGGATCTCTTGCATGGAAGGGGCGAACTCTACCACTGAACCACCAATTTCCTTCCTGGGCCATAAGGTATACCCCCCAAAAGGAAGCCAGAGAAATATAGGACTCAGAAAATCTCAGAAGTGAGCTGCTCATATATGACTATTGTATAAATACAAAACTTGGGGAGAAAAACTGCTCTAGGCCCTTTCTTTCCCCAACCCCCTACAGAAACACTGGAGAAAGTCCTCTAAGTTCCTGCCAAGCTGTGCCACCTGGTCATCTCTGATCCAAAACACACTGCCATAGTCCCAGGAAACCCCTATCTGCCCCCAACCCATCCCCAAGTTAAAGGGCTGTGCCTCTCCCAGGCTGGGCTGAATAGGGCTGAGCAGAAGATAGGTGTGGCTGGTGTGGCAGGTTCTAGGCTGTGTGTAGGGGAGTGGGTTTCCCTTTCTTCCCCTCGAATGCAGGCCAAGCTCTGAGGGCCCTGCCCCTTTGGCTCGCCAGACTGAACAGATAATCCTTTGCAATAACAGCCCTTGGGAACCAGGGCAGAGCCAAGTATGGTTCACAAAGCAGCCAGAAGTTTTAAGAGGAGGTATGTGGGGGTGGTGTTTAGGTAGGGAGTGCTGGCTTCATGATGCAGGACTTCCCTCTTACATGACAGCTCTGTTCTCAGGCCCCACAGAATCACCCTCTTGTTTGAACTCACTGGTGAGTTGGCTCAGAACTCTTGAAACTTTCTGAGATATGAAATCCCTTATCAAAAAGCCAGCCCTGAAGGGAGAGAGAGAGAGAGAAAGAGGGAAAAAGAAGTATTGTCCTGGTCTGCTGGATGAGAAGGATGTTCCCATCCTTCTTCTCCAGATAGAACAAAGCCTGTGAGAACAGACTATGAGAGGTAAAGAAGAAATAGAAGGGGAGAAACTAAGGGTTTTGGTAATAAATCCAATATTAATGCTGCCTGAACCTAGGATGCTGCACTGGAAGGCCTCTGCTGGTCCTTAGAGTTCATGTACCTGAGTTTTAGGAATACACTGACACAGCGTTGCTTAGGAAATGTTTGTGGATGGGTGGATGGAAGACAAGGTAGGTGAATATTAGAGTGGGAAATGGATATGGATAGATAATAGATGTGGATAATTAGGGATAGATGGATACATGGATAGCTGGAGAACTGGACAAAAAAATAAAAGAAGAGAGGGAGGGATAAAGGGAGGAAAAAAGATTAAGTAGAAGAGAGAAGGAATAAAAGGAGGGAAGATGGATAGGTAGAAGAGGAATGAATGGATTGTAGTGGTGTGCTGGCAAAAGTTTAAAAACTAGCTCTTCCAGGGAGGAAATAAAAAGGCTGTAATGCTTGCTAATTTCCATGGTGTAAATACTCTGATAGGTCAAGCTACCATTGTGAGGTGTACTGGGAAGAGAGGCACATGATGGGCTCTACCTTGGCAGTGGGAGTCAGCTCCAGTACGCCACTGGAGGAAATGTGGATGCCTGAGACAGATGAACAGATAGTAGCGGGGAGGATACAAATGGGTGCTGGAGAATACCAGTTTCAATTGCCCTGGGGAGAGTAACAAGATCAAATGATTTCAAAGCAAATGGGAAGGGAAGGCTAATTTGTCTCTTCCACTAGGCTGCCCCTGAGCTCCAAGTCCACAGGAATGGCTCCCTCCCCTGAACCCCTGTCATATTCACTGTCTGTCCTACTCAGAAGGCTTTTAGCTCAGACTGCCTGATGTTAATTGTTCATTCATTCACATATGTTTACTGAACATCCTATTATATGCCAGAAACTAAGTCAAGGACTAATAATACAGACATGAATAAGTCCCAGGTTTTGTCCTTGGGGATCTCACAGTCCAGTGAGAAAAGAGACCAGTAAGTAAATGGTCTGAATTTGGTATAAACAGTGCAGGACCTGAGTCAACCCAGAGAGGGAGGCTCCAGGACTTCCAGAGACAGGCCTGTCTCCATCCAAGCTAGATGCTGCTCACTTTCCATGCACCAGAGCATCCTCCCCCAGCCACACAGAAAAGGCAGTTTTGATTTGATTCAATAGTTATTTATTCAGTTGAGTACTCATTGACTGGTATTTTGAACCTCCTATGCCATTCCTTCCCTTGGGGGCTGTTCCTTCCAAAAGCCTGGTAGGAGGTAGACTGCATGGGGGCCCCCAGCCACCAGGGGATGGAAAGGCCTTCTGTGGAGAACAAGCCAAAGGAATATTTGTCCTTCCAGGGCTGCTCCAGCCCTCACACCACTACCCCTATTCCCACCAGCCTTCCTGGAGTTGAACTATAGAGGTGAGAGTTTTTATCTGTCGAACACTGAGGTCTAGGGTGGACACTGAGGACCACCTGAGGGTAGGTCATGATTCCAGAGCCCTCTCCATACCCCTCCTTTCAGCTCGGCCATTTGTGTCCACCAAAGGGGCTAGTGCACCTGGTCCCATCTGCTGGGATCCTGCCCTCTCCAAGCCCAAATCCAGTTGCAAAGGATCCATAGGAGGGCATTTCCTGCAAGCCTGTGTCTCACATGCAAACAAGGCAAAAGACCCCAAAGTTCATCATATCCCATCCACCACTGTGGCCAACGGAGAGCCTTGAAGCAATAGGAATGTTTCATTTTTAAAGGCCTGGAAAGAAAAGGATACCATGAATGCTCTCAGCCAGTTATGCCCCATCTTATCCTGTTCTCCCCCTGATCTAGTGTGCAGCCTCCTGCTGCAACATTTCTCCCCATTACCAAGTCCAGATATACCAATTAACATGTTGCCAGCCTCTACCCTG